AAAAGAAAAAACCTAAAAAAAAAAAAATCTAAAATTCTAATCAAAATAGAAATTTCTAAATAAAAAAAAAACCCTAAATCCTATTCTAAATAGGAAAATCTTAAATCCTATAGTAAATAGGAAAATCTTAAATCTATTCAAAATAGAAAATTTCTAAAATCCTAATTAAAATAGGAAATCTTAAAAACCTAAATCCTAAAGAAAATAGGAAAACCCCAAATCCTAATCAAATTAGGAAATCTTTAAAAGAGGAAATTTAATCCTAAGAAGAAAATCAAATCCTTAAGTAAATCGATTCATGATTCGGTCTTAAATACCGCATGACATACTTGTAAAACCTTATAAAATAGCTTGTAAAATCTTATAATATCTTATAAATACGTTGTAAAACCTTTTAAAATACATTGTAAAACCTTATAAATACCCTGTAAAAAGACTTTAAAATACCTTGTAAATTTTTCCCGCCAAAAATTTAACGCCAAAAAAATTGCGGAATCACTTTTCCCGCAAAAAAAAAATTTTGGCGGGAAATTTTTTTGGCGGGAAAAAATTTTACGGGAAAATTTTACAAGGTATTTTAAAGGTTTTACAAGTTTTTACAAGTGTTTTGGCGGGAAAAATTGCGGGATCACTTTTCCCGCCAAAAATATTTTGTATTTTGTGGGCCTAATTTTGTTATATTTCCTTATATATTTTTGATATCTTTTATTAAAAGAAGGGTAATTTAGTCATTTTGTACATAAAAAGGGGTATTTTTAAAAATGGACATCCAAAGAGGGCATTTTTGAAAAGGAGTATTGAAAAAGGGGCATTTTTGTGAGTCGGATTTTACCTTTCACCTTATGGGGTTGTACGGATATGAACCGGGAGCTAAAGACCTCGGTAACTCAGGCTGCTGCAACGAACCGCAAACAGTACCGCGATGAACAGTACCACGATGAACAGTTGCGCGATGAACAGTGTCGACGATGAACAGTGCCGATGATGAACAGTACCGCGATCGGATCTGATGATGTGCGGTTTTTAGGGTTAGGGCTTTTTGAAGGTGGTTTTATTTCTCTAGAGCAAACTCGTGTGGAGCTTTCAATCCAGACCACAAGAAAGCTCCACACAGTGGTATGGTCTAAAAACTTTTTTGACCAACAGTGGTAAAGTTGGGTATCTCCCTAGTGAGACCTTGAGCTCTGAGAAGTTATTAGACTCATACAAGGTAGCAGCTGGGTCAGAGGCCTTCAAAGGTTTGATTGGGTCCGAAACAAAGGTTATGGCAGCAAATGAAGTAAGTTCAACACATGCTCAACCAACTGCCTCCACCAACAACTCGAAGAAGCCTCCAACTTGCCCTGAGAGCTCATGCTCGACCGAACAGCTCAAGGCAAGCACTCTAGCGTCAAAAGATTGGTTAGAACTCAAAGAGAGATCTAAATGGCAGGACAAAGCCATACAAGAGCTAACAGTCACTATGAGAGACCTGAAGGATCAAATTAAGGAGCTCCATGGAAATGTCAACCTAGTGTCACTCAAGATCAAGGACGTCCCAAATGATGGAGCCACCACTCTGCTTAGCAAAGAAGGATGTGAATTCAAGGATGTGGATTCACATTGGAATTTTCTAGAGAAGAAGACTATCCTCCTGATCAAAAAGAAGCTTACTTCGAGAAAATGACCACTAAGTACCCAATTGCAAACATGTCAAGAGAGCCTGCTGAGTATGATGATCACTGTACTCAAGAAGAAGAGGAGCCCTCATTTCCTCTCTGCAAACCACCCTACGCCTAATTCCATCAAACACCTTTTGGGTGCGGGAATGCTTTTGATCGAATTCCAGTTGATCAGAAAGGAATAAGCAGTAAACACAACTAATCCAAGCAGTAAACACAACTAATCCAGAAGGGATTCAATAAAATTACACTTAAGCATCAGAATCGACTAAGGGTCTCACATCTACTCTATCCCATCCTCAGAAATCCTAGTCACTACTCAGACAACATGCTCAAAGACACAGAAACGATTGATGATTGCATAACTTCTAAAATTAAAGAAAATAAAACATAAATGAACAAGAAAACGAAAGCGAAATCTCAATAACTTAGAAGAAACGAAAATACAGAGTTTTTGAAGCAAAAGCGGCTACTGAACGAAACTAGGTTGCGATTCTAAAACGTAATTGAAAAGAGAATGTCTCAGGGGAAACCCTTAGAGACTTATTTATAGTAAAAACGACAAAGATAAGTGAGTGGGCTTCGAGTCCGCTTAACAGGCCCATGGAACGTTGTGGCCGAGTAGATGGGCTCAAAGTGGGCTTCATGGTCGAGCGTGAATCGAAGCCGCGATCGAGTGGTTCCTTCTCTCCTCTTCTCTTTCCTATGCTCAGGTTGTCTGGTTGAGTGCGGATTGATCAGAGGGTCGAGGTGGTGCTCGAGTAGAATGGGTGGTGGCGTGGTCTGGACTGCTTCTTCTCTCTTGTGATCGAGTATGTGGGTAGACTGTCAGGATGGACTGCTTCTTCAACCTTGCGATCGAGTATAACAGTGAACTGGCAGGATGGACTGCTCCTCTTCCTCTGCGATCGAGTAGAACAGTCTGGCTGGACTGCCCTGTGATCGAGTATAAGGGTCCTGGTGGTCTGCTGAGCTGACTGCTTCCCTCTCTGCTACTGGTGATCGAGTATAAGGGTCCAAATGTGACTTTCAGCTCTGTTTTTCCTCTTTCTGAACACCAATAGCTCCGAAACACCTGAAACAACTCCAGAATGCAAAATGCATGCAAGACTAATGCTAGACACACTTAAACATGCAAATTATGCGAAATGATGATGAATGCTATGGAAGATGAACGAAACTAGACTCAAAATGGTGATAAATGGATGTATAAAACATGCAAATTATAGACATATCAACACCCCCAAACTTAGTCTTTGCTTACCCTCAAGCAGACAAGTAAGCATAAGATGAAGGAGAGGTTTGAAGGTGGGGATTCAGAACCAAAGCATCAGGTAGAATAGATAAAATCAAGGTCCAAGTTGGTAGTTCTAGGATGCGATATGATCGATCTCTACTCAAAAACGTTAGCCATGCCTTGTTATAGTTCAATCCGACTCTTATACTCGACCTACACATGCTTTCAAATCGACCAATCCCTTTAACATTCATTAGTTTCAGAACGTGAATCAAGCAATGCACCATCAATGAACTCATTTGGCTTAAGGTGAAGGTCAGGAGACAAAGACAGTCCCTTTAAGGTGGTTCAAGTTTAGTAACAGGGGACTCTCAAAAGAAATGGACTGAGCTTTAGGAGAATGCTAAAGGTAAGACCCAACCTATGCATACAAGAATAGTATCTCATCTACCCAATAACATAAACCGTGTTTACACCAGCAGATGGTACTACCCCCAAGCCCAGATGATGATCCTAGTTCTACCCTTTGCACTCAAGGCATTTTTTATCTTTGATCAAATCACTCTTTCTTTTTCTCTGACTTTGTTTTAAGGAGAAGTTTTCTTTTACTCGATGGATCTAGTGGGTTTGGTTTTTCTTTGACAACTATGGCTCTTGTTATCTTCTTATGATAAAGACTTTTCTAAATTTTTGCTTTCTTTTGTTACAGAGCCTATCTATTCGACTTTTAGTTCCTCAAAACCCATTACTAGAGTAACTTGTTTCTCAACTTCCTTCTCCTAAAAACATCAACCTTTTCCTTCTTTTACTCATATACTCGATCCCCACCCAAAAATAGACTCCCACCTAGTCCTATCTAGTCCAGAAAACGTGAACTAGAACTACATGAGACACTACTCTTGTCGGTTCAAACCTAACACTTTCTACCAAGCTCAATCCTGAATTAGGCCTCACAGTCACACACGAGATATTACATGGCTTTTAAAAGAGAGGTTTGGTTAAGGTCTAGGGAAACTGCTCCTATGATGGAAGCAGCTACTTGGGTTAGCAAGGATGGTGAAAAGTTGAAAGAAAACCCAAGTATGTATATGGTATCCATGAGTTCAAATTTGATGCTAAGACATGATAATTGTAAATCAGATTCAGGTTCAAATTGATAGGAAATGGTATCAAATCATGACAGTGTGATCGAGTAGAGCATTCAAGACATGGTGCAGTTTTACTTCAATTTCATTGACTACGCATCAGACAACTAGCAACGAGGGCACTGAGTCTATCTACTGAACCAGCATGCTTACAAGGCTATTTCATCATAATCCCCTATGCATATGCAACAATCCTATATGAAACATACTAGACTCGATCCTAAATGTGATGCAACTAGATGAACACTCTGTTTTTGTGGAATACATTTTCAGAAAATTTTCAAATTTTTTGGTTTTTTCTATGCTTTAGATGACAAAATTTGAAAACAAGACTCAAAGAAAACATGTTAAATACGTCTTGAATTCTCCCCCAAACTTAAACTACACAGTCCCTTGTGTAGTAAAAATCTTAAGGAGATTTCAAGAGAGACAATATAAAAACAAAAGCAGAAAATGGTATTTACAATAATGGTTGGGTGTGGTACCTCAGTTGAAGGTCCTGGAGATGTAGTCGTCCATCTCCTCTCTGGTGTATTCCCATGGAATGTTGGGGCCTTGTTGTTGCTCATCAGCTGCTTCAGCTCCATGCTCAACCTGGTGCTTGATCTCCTTGTGATTGAGTATGTGGTGATGAATTGGAATTTTTTTGTGAGCAAAACTACAAATATTCGAGCCTTCTACTCGATGGCGGAGTCTCCAGGTGAAACAAAAGATTTTCAAATTTTTGGACTCCACTGGGCTCATATACTCGATCACAAGGTCCTTGGTAGAGTAAAATTTTTGAATTTTTACTCTACCTCCAGATTGTTTCTCCATTCCTGAGAACTACAAACACAACCAAAACAAATCAAAAATAACAAGAAAGGAAATCAAATTATTTACAGAGATAGTCATGGGACTTCCTCCCAAGTGAGCATGTTTTAAGTTTCACATTTGTTTATCACAATGGTCATAATAGTTTGTAACCAATTATTTTTCCTCTTGGTAGCTATCTGGTGCTGATTTGGATGCTCAATCTAATGTATCAAACACAAACAAAGGAGGAATTAAGTGTAAGATATTGGATTGGTTTTCAAAAGATGAAGTTGTTGTCGGGGAATCAGACAACAACTCTCCAACTGAGCATAACATGGTATATATCTAAATTATTAATATTGCCATTGTTTAAACTATCAATATCAATTATATTACTAATATGTGCATAACTCTTTAGGACTCTGATGAACAACTGATTTACAACATCTTTGCTTGGAATGGAACTGATATTGTTGCTGAGGGTATATTGATGATCAGTTGATTACACTTTTTAAATTTTGATTCGTTTGTTTCAAATCGTAGTGTTAAATTATGGATTTGATAATTGTGTTTGTAGATCAGGCTATAAACTAGAGAGAGTTTAGTGAAGTGTGACTATTACTCTTTGTTTCTTTACTTTCTTTCTAGTGTGTTGATGCATGTGAGTGAATGTCATATTTATTTGAGTGTGTGATCCTTTGAACTTATTATCAGAATAGTGATAAAGTCGTAGTAAATTGTCTTAAAACTCCAAGCTTTTTGGTTCCTTGTAAGAAAGATAATTTACTACTGAGTTATATAATTTAAGATGTGACTCTTGATAGATCTTTTAAGAAGTAAATTTGCATGTGCAGCTGCCATCAATTATGGGGAAATGGATGACATGAACGCTGCAAACATGATCTTGGTTGGTATCCCCCTTGACGAACCACACTTGAAGAATCATCTGTCTATTCTCGTAAATACAGAGAAGAATGATCTCAAAGCATGAAGTCTTCCTGTGACCGAATCATACTATCTCATGGGCACAGTAGATCCCACCGGAGAGCTAAAGGAAGATGAAGTATGTGTCATCCTGTATGTTACTCCCCTATTCTCTTACTTTCATTTTGATTTTTACATGGAAACAAGAAACAGTGATTTGCTTTTAGTTGTTCATTTCAGGGTAATCCTGCAAAACTCACTTCGATAACATATGTCTTAGTATGTAACAATCTGGTATTCTTAAAGAGATATGTGAAGAATCACGATGACAAGCAGCTGGTGACTGAGTTGATGGCTATATATCGTGCATCATAGATTATAAGGCTTGTCTAGGATCTTGGTTTGTATCTTTGAATATCTGAAAAACCTCAATTTTAGGCTTTTTAAATATCAATTTGATCCGGATCGGAACCGTTTCTCTCACTCTCTCTCTATATATGCTTAAAGTTGTATTTTTGAATCTCTTTTTTGATATATTAGCGTAGAAACAACAATGCAGCCAAAGAGAAAGAGCTGAAGGGGACATGTGAATCCAAATTCTATATTTGTTGTATTTTCTGTAGCAGTTAGTTTCTGAACTCCTTGGCAAAAATATATTAAACACAAAAACACATACTTAAAACATTTTAATTGGAAAAATTGAATTCATTATTTTAAGGCATGTACTTTAGATTTCAAGTTAAATGATTTTAAATATTTTTAAAGATTTTTTAAATGATTTTTGAATTTTGTAAAAGAAAAGTTAAAAAAAAAAAGAAATATAAATAAATATAACCAAATATCTCAAAAAGACATAAATATTTAATTATAATATTAATAATTACAAAAATAATAACAAAGTTATAATTTTAAAGAGTTTAGGGTATAGAGTTTAGGGTTTAGGGTATAGGGTTTAGGGTATGAAATGTATGGTTTAGGTTTTTTGATTATATTTGTTTGAAATAGTAATAATATTAATTATAACAAATAATAACATAAATAAATTTCATTTTTAAAAATAGTTTAGGGTTTAGGGTTTAGGGTTTAGGGTTTAGTGTTTTAAATAGTAGCTAATATTAATGATATAAAGTATACTATTATAAAATAAATGAATTCTATCATTTTATTAATTATAACATCATTAATGTGTTTCAACAATATGATTTACACAATAAGAAGATTAGTGTACATGTATTCTAAGGCAATCATATGTGTTACCTTCAAATTTCTAAAAATGTTGCAAAATATTTTTTTTAAATTGCGAAAAAATTATATAATCATGTAAATAACTCATAAACATATTAATTAGTCAACATATAATTTTTAAAAAATTATATAAATAGTAAAAACACATTTTTATGCCTATAAACAAAATAAGCCAATCATAATGTTTCACTCGGATTGCTGATGTGGCGAGATCTCAGCCTTTCAAAGGCTTTGGCGGCTGCATGTTTAAGAAAATCTCATCAGTTCATCGCCCAACAAAGGCTTTTTTTCTTTTTGGTTAAAACTTCTCCTTTTTCTTCTTTTCTTCGTATCCTTCAAGTTTTCAACTCTTACATTCTTATGAGAAAACCAAACGTTTGCTTACAGTTTCTTCACATGTGGCTCACGGTTGCTACTTTTATTGATTCCGAGCTGTTAGAGTACGGTGGCTCAAGGCGGATTTCAATTGTGTATTTGGGTTTTACATGTCCGGTCATCTCCGTGATGGATATCTAGCGGCAGATCTCGCATCTGAGGGTGGTGACAACGAGAACATTTCTCCGGTTGCGTCGGTTAGGCTTTTAGGGTTAAATCCGGTGTCTTAGATTTGCCTTTGGCAGGATTAACAAAATTCATTGCCATCTCCGACTCGAATCTGAGAGAACCAAAGAAGAAGACGAAGAAGAAGAATGGTCTGTCGAAGGTACTTATAATTTCCATGGGTTCTTATAAACAAAAATTGAAATAAAATTGTTTATTTGTTCAACTGAATCTAACAATTGTTTATTGGTTTGATAATCTGAGAGAATCGATTTATAATTCTTTTATTTTGCTTTTCTTATTTTAGTTGAAGATGAAGATGGTAGGCGACAGATCCGGTTGAGGACTGTTCTCTTTGTAGCTGGCAAGTAACAAGCTTCATCGAACGTGAGCAGATCTCATTATGGCGGCGAGTAGGAAGCTTCATCCGACGGGAAGATCGAACCGACCCGAACTGAACAATTCGGCAGAATTTTGTAAAACAGAATAAACCAATAAACCGAATAAACCGATCCGATTAACCCGAGATAACCGAACGCCCAGGGCGAAACAAAATCATAACGATTATTACACCTTATTATAAATATTAATAATAGCAACGTCATAAACGCTATCATAGTTTAATTAACTATAGCATTCGCAAAGTCCGCTATCTATAGTGTCCGACTTTCTATAACAGGCGATGTCAGAGCGCTTAAGGAAACGCTATGGTAGATGAATAATAGCGTTTATCGGCCGCTAATACCCACATTTCCTGTAGTGTAAGGTTTCCGGGGATCCCATTTCACAATACATAATACACAATAGTAGCCTTTACATTTCTACCCAACAATCTACACCAAGATCCTATTGTCCCAACGACCCTCTACGGCTTTTCCCTCTAAGGTTTCCTGCAACAAAAATGGTGGAATCATGAATACAAGTACTCAATGAGTTCGGCGCCTAATCTCGGAAGCTAAACAACCCAATCCAAAACAATAAACGTTAGTCAAGCAACAAGCAATCAAGCAATCAAGCAATCAATAATCAACAAGTATCAAATGCAACAGTTATGCTATATGATGCATGCACGGGTAAATGATAACAACAACAACAAAAATCCTATGGCCATCTGAACGATCCTTCCCATCGAATCAAGTGAACAATCCGCGAGTAGCCACCAAGTCTACAAGCGATGTACCACGTGGGCCTTCCACGACGGGCAATCCCCGTTGCATCGTCATGCAACCACTCGGCCCTTTGGGTGCGAACGAGTCTCTCCGAGTCCAACAAAAAAAGGGAAGCGTACTCGAACACCACAAACTCTATATGCATGCAACTAAGCTACGACGAAGCGTACTTAAAGCATCAAGCATACATGACATGAATGATAATCCTTATCAATTCTACGATCAATCAACAACAACATCAACGAGTACACAACCAACAAGCAAGCACGCAAAGTAAATCATGTGCCACCACACATGCTTCGGAACTCACTGTGATTACGCGGATCGGATGATCGTGATGTCTCAGCGGAATAACTACTCTAATCGGGAACTTCTAGTCTGGTACTTCTTCCGGAAATTCGTCGTCCAGAACTTCGTCGTCCACCTCTACCGTCAGCTTCGGGAGCGGCCGTCACTTCACCGGAGATTTCCGAGAGCTCTCTCTTTCTCTCACGATTTCTCTCTAACTTATGGTGAATGACTTAAGCTCCAAAGCCTTGGTACTATTTATAGGGGACGGAACTTGACGCATGACGGACACATGTCGCGTCTTGGGTGACTCAAACCCACAAAGACACTCTTTCACCGATTGGCTTGGAGTTCGCGTTGCCCAACACTATGGAACACGTTTCCTTGTGATTGGGTCGTAGTTCGTGTCGCCCAACTCATGGCAACACTCTTCCTCCACGATTGGCTCGAAGTTCGTGTCGCCCACCTCATGGCAACACTCCTTCTCCACGATTGGCTTGGTGTTCGCGCGTCCCAAGCCCATCATTACCTCGTTTTGTCCAAAAGAGATAACTTGCACCCTTGGTTATATTCCTCTTCAACGATTGGCTCAGAACTAATCATTGCCTCGATTTCGTCAAAAAGGTGGAGTCTCTCTCTCCGACAAATGATTACTTTTCTGACGCCTTTACCTCGATTCTCGGAATTTATGCCTTCAAATCATTCTCTAGATTCGACCATCCCAAGAATCATCTAAACCACGTACTAAGTCGTCCTTAGCCACGGTGCGCCCACACGGCATGGCCAAGTCGTAGTCCGGTTCCATAATGTTCGATTATAAGTCTTTTTCCTACGACCATATAACCTCCATTAAATTCCCCATTTATCGCACACGGTGATTCGTTCACCGGACCATCCAAAAACGAGTTTCCTTTGACCAAACTCATTTCTTCGAGAACTATTAACTATTTCTCGCCAAAAAGTCCTAACTTTCGTCCAAGTCCTTCGAGCACGAGAGACTTTCACTTTTGCTCGACTCCGGCACTTGGTGCAGGACGCGATCCGTCCGGACAAATTTCATGCCCGAGAACGGGTCACTACAGAAACGGCTTGAACTTGAACTATCTTGGGTTTCACATGGGCTTTCCGAACTCTTTCTTGCTGACCCCGAACTCCCGTGCTTTGATGCTACTACGAGCCTCGAACAATATTCTCCTCGCGTCGGCCTTTCTCTATGCGAACTGTATGTTGAATAAGAGCGAACTCCATGCTAGTAAAGATCGAACTCTTTAGTGAACTGAATCGAACTTCCAACTGGTCAAGCAATAAAATATCTTGAATTCCGAGAGGATTATTATGTAATAATGACGTGGACAGATCCAAGTGGATCCTACCGAAAATGAGTGGGATCCAACCCCAACATTTAGCCCCCCAAGTCTTGCGAGCCGAGTGCTCGGCTTGGAAGACTTAAGTAAATAGCAATTAATGACTCGAGATCTTTAATATTCTGGAATTTCTCCATGTTTTACGCTATTACGCCGATCTCGGATAATCAGATGATTTGATTTCCCTGACAACCGTCATTATTAATTTTCTAATTTTATATTAATACTGCGGGGAAAACTGTCCCGCTTCCCAATATCTCAGAGGCGGTTTTCCGCTAAATAGGGTTAAATGGAACGACGACTTTTACAGCGTACATTCACCCCTAAAAGCTTTTACCAAACCAGAGAAAGAAAAATCTTTTAGTAAAAAAATGTCTTCCCCAGCCGTTTATGTCTCGAGACAACGAAGATGATAGTCAGAGGAATCCCAATTCCCAGAGAGAACGAAGTCTTCACCCAAAGAGGAGATAAATTTGGTCCGCATTTTAGGTCTCAATCGACCCATGCTTCCCTTGGCGCTCTTCGTCGCCTCTGCAACATTCCTCAGAAAATAGAATTCTCTCTTCCTAAACCCAATGAGTCTCCGGAAATAGTGCGAGAAGGTTACTGTTATGCTTACGAAATCTATTTCAAAGGTTGCGGTTTATTTTTTCCCATACCGGAAGTTCTCCTTTTGTACCTTCTCCATCTGGGGATCGCTTTTCCCCAAGTGGCTCCCAACTTTCTCCGATACGTCCTGAGCACCCTGACTGTTTTGGCAGAAGCAGGGTTTTCTCTCACCACTAGCGAAATCTTAGGGCTATTTCGAGCCCGTCAATCCACAGCAGCGGGTATTTTTTCTATGAATCCTATGTTTGACCGTAACCTGATCGACGGAATGCCCTCGCATGATGGGCCTTGGAGGAAATACTGGTTCTTTTTCCGAGTCAATCCTCACTCTGTCCAAGGTCTTTCCAGTCTTCTTCTCCCAAATTGGTCGTCTAAACTTGGTTAGAACCAACCTTTACTATTTTTCACTGTGTTGTGTGAAAGAAATAGAATTCTTAACTCAACGTTTTATTTCAGGGAACCAAACTATTCCCCGTCCAACTGTTGATTTCCTATCTTTCTTTCGAATCGTTTCCGAGGGTGAAACAAATTGGAATTCCTTCACCCTTCGACGTATTCATAATGCGGGGCTCGCTATCAAAGATGGTCAAACTCATCCCCTCGATCCTCCTTCTGAAGAGAAAGATGTCTCGAGCCTGAATGCTCGCGATAAAAGAAACATCCTTCTCGAAACTAAGGCTCTTAAGGATCAACTATCAGAAATTGGGAAAAAGAAACGGATCGCCGCAATCTCCAGGGTTGGTAACTGCCACAGGAAGACCCTCTTGGTCGATGACGGTTCTTTAGAAGCAGCTCTGTCAATTGCGGTGCATTCTCACGGAGCCGAGATTCCTAACGACCCTCTAGTTGCTACCGCTATTTGCCCTTCCCCATAAGAGAAAGAGAGAGAAGTAACTTCTTCTCCTTATACAAAGAGGAAGGCTCTCAGATACTTTATCGAACGAGAAACTCAAAACCGTTAGATTTAGTTCTCTGTTACGAGCTCCTAGCCCTTTGCATTCTGTTTTCCCTTCTTCGGAACCTTTAGACCCTGAGCTCCCTCTTCCGAGTGACAGAGTAATTCCAGAAGAAATCGATGAATTGAAACCGGAGTTTCCTTCGTCTCAAGGATTGAGTGTTAGTACTCAAAACCCTTTACCAGCTTCGATTTCTGAAACTGGTAAGTTTTTTTTTTAGAACGCGAGCCTTAGCAAGACTTGTTACAGACAGCAACTATTTTATTAATCTACTATTCTCCTTTGTTTTGTAGGCGGAGAAGAGATTGGAGACATCTTCCGAAGCTTTCAAACCAGGGGAGGGGCATCCCTTCCCCCTTTTTCAGTTTGGAGGCCAGAAATCCGTCAGATGTACGTCAATCGAGCTTACTACCTATCTCAGGTTCGGAACTTTTAGATTTTTACTATGATAACCCCCTTTTTTATTAAGTAAAATTTTTTTGTCTGAATGACATTTTTTTTTACTTTGAAGGCGTTTACGGAGACTAATAGAATGATCTTCCATTATGAGAATCTTCTTCACCAAGCGATGAGAGAGACCGCAAAGGCTAAGAAGGAGATCGATGAACTTAAATTAGTCAATCAGTCTGACCGACTCGAGCAGGGGAAAACCCTCGAGTCGTCCTTTGAGGATATGAAGAAGACTTTGGCAGCTAACGAGCAACGCCTCAGAATTGCAAATGCTGAAAGAGATTCTGCGAGGTCTAATGCCCTTCGCTTGAAGACTGAGTTAGAAGAGGCTACAGCTTTTTCCGAAGAAGCGAGCCATAAGGCCGACTTTTTAGCTAAGACTAGGGCTCGCGAGATCGCCGAAGCCGAACATAACGCTCGAGAACAGATGAAGGGCTTTGGTAGGCAACTTATTCAGTCTATCATGAAGTTTATCAAAGACGAAGAAGTCTGGACTAAACTTCAATCCAATCGAGCCGAACTAAAGAGTAATCTAGACCTGATTGGGGGACTAGAGAATGTAAGAATTTCGTTCGAGAATGAGAGGAGGGAAGTTACTGCCAAACTCGCTGTAGTTGAATCCGAGTTATCTTCGGCTTCCCGTCCTACTCTCGATCTGAAATAATTTTCTTTGGTATTCGGAGATTCCCCTTCTCAATTCGAGGTAGGTGAAGGTTCTCAGCCATGCGAGGGTTCTCCAGAGGTAGAGGAACGCTCTTAGAAAATTCTTTTGTTGAATCCATGAGGACTACTCCGTTTGACGGAAATGTTTCGTTTAATTAGTGTGACTGAACACAATCATGTACATGCTCCTGCATATGATTTTTTTTTATTTAAGTAAAACGTTTGGATGCGATTCTAGGTTTGCAAGTCCTAGCCCACCAAAGAGGTTTTATGATTTGTGAGAGATGAGCTGATCATGCTCACTTGCCTTTTTTAAAGAAAAAATCTTAACAATTATTTTTCCTCTGTCTCTCGGAAGCGAGGATGGAGCTCGGCTTAAGCTTCTTATCGAGGGATAAGATTTTTGTAATTCATGAGAATTTTGCCATAAAAATGACCAGGCAATGGTTTCGATCATAGCCTAAAAATGGATTTGAAAGTGTTGGGCCATGTTTTAATTGGACCGAAGTCTGCTCTAGCAGACCCGCTATATATTATTATTATTTTTTTCTTAAAAGAATCCGAACATCTTTCTCCTTCAAAAGAATTCTGAAAGACTCTCAGTTTATTATAAGAAAATACTTAAATAAGCCGCTATCTTCTTTCAGTTCAAGCTTAAGAATAACAACTTCGAACGGGGATCCATTGTTTGAATCCGAAAACGGATTCTCTCCAAAGGGAGTCATTCACCCTACGTTTTTTCATTTCCGAACGGGGAAAGAAAGGGTCAAATGTTACGACTTCCTGGAAAAGGTCTCCTTTCTAATTTTTAGTCTTTTCAGAAGACTGTATATTCTCTTTCAGACAGTTGACAAAATGTTTGTTCAATTAGATCGTCGGGAGACATAAAGCTTTATGTGATAAGAGACAAAGAATCGGAAGGAGGCGCCGTGCTCTTGATGAGCGCATAAAGAGGATGGAAAGAGAGATCCTTCGCCTGGAATCTGAACCGCATGAATGGGAGAGGAACGGTTTAGACATCGTGGCCATAATTCCTACTTGTCTCCGAAGTTTCCTCCGCATGCTGGATAATTTATCTCATCTATCCTTGGCAACCAGCGATGGGTCCTCTTTTGTTTCATGTTCTTCAGAGTTTCAGAGATTTCCGATGTTAAGGACTGAAGAGAATGAAGAACCGGAGACGAAAGCTATCGATGATTTCTCTGGTCCCCTCGATTTATCTTATGACGAGGGATTATCCTCAGAAAGCTGTTCGGGATCCTCCACCTCGCTGGAATCATTATCGGGCGAAGACTTTTGATTGAACATCCTCTTATTTTTGTTTGTAAAATGCCACTGGCCTTGCGGCCCAGCAACATTAATTATATTTCCCCTTTTGCTTTAAATTTGTCGATTTATTTCAATCTTATTTAATGCGATTAATCTAGGGAATATAATTAGCAATTAACTCGATTACATTTTCCATAAAAGTAGTAATTTCAGATTTGGGAAATCGTCAATTAACCCTCTTAAATGTGGTTGAGTATTTGTAGTTTATCATTGAGTTTTATCAACAATAGTTCTACAAAAATGTTCGAAGAAGGTAATTTTTCGGAGAATCCTTCTGACTCATTCAGAATGATAAACGATGATCTTCCGAGAGCGCCAGACATTGAGTTTATAAAAACGGGAGGAACTGGCGAACCGGAAGAGTCACGAATATTGAGGAGGGGAACCATCATTCAGGTTCTGATCGTATTAATCGAGAGATTATCAGCTCAGGATCGTGTCAAGGCTGAGGAATTTATTAACAAGGTATTGTTTTCCCCAGTGTTTTTGACTACTTTTGTCATTGCTAAACGATGCGTTTTAATTTCTTCAGCTCATCACTCAGCACGACGAGCTCGAAGATGAGAAAAAAGAGATTAGGAAGAGGAGAATGGAACTAGAGAAGCGTCGCCTCGATATTGCTCGCGAGCTTAATCGCCTAGAAGCCCATCCTTCCGATTGGATCCAGATAGGACTCCAGGAGTACGGAAACATGCCAGGTTGCATGATGAGCATCGTTGACCTCGCAGGCCAAGGAGCAGAGCTATTCCGTAATCCAAGACCCTTCTAGATCTGGTTTTTGCTTAGCTAGAAATATTTCTTTTTACATTGTTCGCAACGTATTTTATATTCATGCCCGAGGATAAAAACATGACTCCATGATTGGAATAATATTTTTATTTTTATAGCTGGACTCGTGTTTAGCAAGTTACCTACGTACCCAAAATAGGATCAAGCCAAATCGTAGTTCGAAATATTTTTATTTTAGCAATAAAACTTTTTCAAGTTGATGATGTTCCAAGACCTTTGAACGGGATTACCGTCGAGGTCTTGTAAACGGTATACACCATTTCGGACTTTTTCTGTGATTTGATAAGGGCCTTTCCAGTTAATACCGAGTTTTCCAGCTCCTTCTTTTGTGTTATCGAACACTCGCCTTAAAACAAAGTCTCCTCCATTTAAAGGTCTGTTTTTCAACTTTGAGTTATAGTATCGAGCGGTCAACTGCTGATAGTTCTGAAGTCGAATAAGGGATTGGTCTCGCCTTTCATCAATTGTATCGAGAACGTCTTCTAAAAATTTAGAATTCAGTTCCTCGTTAAGTGGAGCTTCGCTCCGGCGTAAACCAGGAACATTCAGCTCGGCTGGGACTACTGCTTCCATCCCATAAACTAATGAGAATGGAGTCTCTCCCGTTGCTCGCCTCGGGGTTGTTCGATAAGCCCACAACACAGGTTGTAGCTCGTCATACCACCCACCTTTTCGAGCACTCAAACGTTTTTTAAGATTGCTGAGAATGGTTTTATTAGCAGCTTCCGCTTGCCCATTTCCTTGAGGATACCTCGGCGTTGAGTAGCTAAGTTTTATTCCCCAAGCGGAACAAAAATCTTCAAAGTCATTTGAAATGAATTGAGGACCATTGTCCGTTACAATTTCGTAGGGAACTCCATAGCGACAAATAATGTGTTTCCACAAGAATGTCTTTACCACAGAGTCTTTTATATTTATGTAAGCTTCAGCTTCAATCCATTTGGTTAAATAGTCCATTAGAACTAATAAGTATTGGACGCCTCGTGTTGAACGATGCATCGGACCAACTATATCCATTGACCATCTCATGAAAGGGTATGGGGCGGATATAGATGACAAAAATTCATATGGCTGGTGAATAAGAGGAGCGTGCATCTGGCCTTTTTTACACCGTTTGGCGTAATCGATGCAGTCAGAAATCATAGTTGGCCAAAAATATCATAACCGTTTGATTTTGAAAGCCATTGATCGTCCCGAAGAATGACTACCACAAAGCCCTTTGTGGACCTCGCTTGTCACTATTTCAACTTCGGGCCCGAAAATACATAAAAGATAAGGGTCACTGACACCTCGCTTGTATAATAACTCTTTAATTATGCAATACTTAGCGCTGATGATTCTTAATTTGCGAGCTTGCCACTTGTTCGATGGTAGTTCTCCATTAAGAATAAAATTTTTGATGGGTACCCTCCAGTTAGCCCCCCCAATCATTAGCGGAAGTATTATCCTTGAGTATAAACTTCCTTGGTTCAGGTTCGGAAGGAATATCAGGATCTTCGACTGTCTCCTGAACTTCTTCATCACCTAGAAGTGACTGTTCAGTTCGAGATGGTTCTTTAATGGGAACCTCTTGATCCTTTAATTTTGTTCTTGGCTTTCTTTTAGAAAGTTCCAGTGGTGGAGTAAGTTCATCGTACTCGTGATCTGGTGATAACAAGCGTACTATTTTCATTTCCGGAACTTAATTTTGGAGTTTCGATATGCTCGGCCTCCAAAATGTTATCGTTTCCTGTTTCTTCAACTGAAATACTTCGTGAAGAAATACATTCAACTGGAATAACTCGCTTGAGCTTGGGATCTGAGGTAGAAGCTAGGGCAGCTAAAGCGTCTGCCGAAGTGTTTTCTTCTCGAGGTATTCGAACTAATTCGAATTCTTTGAATTTTCTGGCTAATTTTTTTACAGCCGAAAGATAGGCTTCCATTCGAGGAGCCTTAGCTTCGTAATCTCCAGCGAACTGGTTTAGAACTAGCTGAGAATCACAATAAGCTATTATTTTTTCTGCTCCAATTGCAAGAGCAAGCCGAAGTCCTGCTAAGAGAGCTTCGTATTCCGCTTCATTGTTCGAAGCCGGGAACATTAATCGAAATGATTGTTCGATTATTTCCTTTGCCGGAGTTTCGAGCCTAATACCGATTCCGGATCCTTGTTTAGAAGAAGAGCCATCTACATGTAATTTCTATGTGGAGTCCGTTTCAATAAGGATTCCATCATCTAATGGTAGTTTGGTTAGAAAATCAGCCAGAATTTGTGCTTTTGCGCTAGTTTGACTTTTGTATTCTATATCGTACTCACTGAGTTCGATTGCCCATTTCGCCAATCTACCGGATTGACTTGGACCGTGAAGATTTGAGCGAAGTGGATGAGAAGTTAAAACTTCTATCGGATGAGATTGGAAATAAGGTCTGAGTTTTCTAGCAGATATGACTACTGCTAAAGCTAATTTTTCCATCATGGTATATCTCATTTCTGGACTAGTAAGAGATTTACTTATGTAGAAAATCAGCTTTTGTTCACCTCGGTCCTCTCGAACTAAAACCCCACTTATAGAATGATTAGAAACTGAAATGTAAAGATAAAGTTTTCTCATCTGACTCAGGTTTTGAGAGAACCGGTGGTGTTGTCAGATAAGTTTTGAGTTGACCAAATGCTGCTTCGCATTGATCATCCCACCGAAATTTTTTGTTTCCTTTTAAAATTTGATAAGGGAGACATTTATCGGTAGACTTCGAGATGAAACGATTCAATGCAGCAATTCTGCCCGTCAATCGTTGGACCTCTTTAATGTTTTTTGGCGAATGCATTGTGAGGAAAGCGTTAATCTGATTAAGATTTGCTTCTATTCCTCTTTCCGTGACTATGTACCCCTAGAATTCTCCGAAAGG